AAATAAAACTTTGGCCGGGAAAAAAAAAAAAAAAAAAAAAAAGAAAACCCAAAAGCCCAAACCCACGTCTGCGTAGGGAGGGGAGAGAAAGCACCCAAACCGAAGGCCACTCGTCTAACAGCATAAAGGAGCATGGCAATTCCCAAGCAGAGCTCCAGGAAAAGAAATTGATGACCTCTTGATGCAAACCAAACCTTCCTATATAAGGCAAATCTGGGAATCATTTTCAACACACTGGTGAATCCAGGACCAAATATTTACTTTCGGCACAAATAAAGCTGCGGTGATCTGAGCGCCGAAGCCAAGAGAAACAAAAGTGTACAAAAGCCATTAACACGAGGCTTTGCGTTGAAACACCTCTGACTGTATTTTAAACCCCCGGCTGCTGTTAGGGGATGAATTCGGTGTTATTTATGATTCCGAACTGGGCTGGAGCTTTTGATGAAGAGCTGACGTTTGGAAACGAGTTTGAAAGTTGTGAGATTGTCCTGACAACGCAATCGACGGCAGTATATAATCATTTCCTTAATAGTTACCTGTCAGAGATCCCATTTCTTTTACTGCGGGGATTAGTCCGTCAGGAGTAGATCCGAGCTGGACTTTCGGCAGACCAGAGATCGGCTCCAAGGCGTTTGAGTATTTAATGTCACTTTCTCCCCAGCATCCGAGATAAAACGGTGCAAAAGTGTTTTGCTGGGGAAAATGCGGCAGCGCGGCTGGTAACAACAGTAGCGATATAATCATATTTACCTCATCAGAAGTTGATCTGAGTAATAAACCTTAGCGTTTTCACTTAAACTGTCAGGAGTAAGATATGTTTATTACAGCGTATTCTGTCTGCGTGGGGAGGACGGGGATGCGCTTTAGATAAAGTTTAAACGAAACAGAATAAACACAGCAAATCGCTCCAGCCCAACACAAAAGCTGTAAATGACTGCTATGTATTTTACCACCCGAAGGCTTTTTTCTTTTTCTTTTCTTTTTTTATTTATTTTTTTTATTTTTTTATTCACACGTTTCTAGGGGTGAAGCCCGGGCATATCCAACGGTGTCGTTAATAAGGTATACAAAATTGCCTGATCCTACCAAACGGGGCTAGAGTTATATGTTTTATTGTTAACCCCTTGCACTGAATCTTCTGAAGCTGAAAGGGAAAAGGAAAGGGCTTTTGTCCGAGTTGATCCTTGGCTATTCTGGGGCTCAGGTTGGTGTGAAAGGGACGAGGAGGTCACTCGAAATCTCCTTTTATCTACTCCTATTTTCTCTCTGGATCAGCAACTTTGAATAGACACCATCTAATCGCCCGTAATGGAAAAAGGAAAAAAAAAA